CATGTAATTTGCCGCTAAATTTTTTTCTTTTTAGAAAATCAAGGCAGCACCCAAAACTTTAAATACAGTGTCACAACCTGCAGCCTTATTACAACCAGTCCACTGAGCCTATTGGTTCTCTTAAGAGACACTAAAAAAAACTGTTCAGCAGACCAGTACAGTATGGATTAAAAAACTATTGGTTCTCTTAAGAGACACTATAAAAAACTGTTCAGCAGACCAGAACAGTATGGATTAAAAAAATTATTATTAGCATATAGATGAGGTATAATTTTAATATTCGGCATATAATTTGTCCTTTTCTGCATACTATTCCTGGTGCATTAGCAAATTTTTCATTGAAATAATAATCCTATGGCCATTTAGGTTTTGCAGCTGGAAAACATCTGCCCCTGTGGAGGCAGATGGTGCAAGTGTGTGTAACGTCTGTCTTTTTCTTGTGCAATTATGTCAAAATTAAAACACTGGGAGTGCATGCAAGTGATTAAGGAGAGCAAGTGTTACGTGGAAGTTCTCATTATCTCTGGAACTGGTATTACAGCCCTACAATTTCATAGTTAAAAAGTATAGATTTGTTGAACTTGAAAATGAAATTGCAGTACTCAAATAACCTTATCCCAACTGCCTGAAGTCTCTTTGAAGCTTACCTCTAGAATGTACTGAAGTCATACTTGTGAATATTCTGTATCTTTTTTTGGAGGAAGAGTAATTATTCTGAGCCCAGGATTCTACACAACCAAGTACATTTCCTTTCAGCAAAAAACTCTATTTTCACCAGGGGTACTGCTAAGTAACAGTAAATGGCACTTTGGTAACCTTTGACCGAGGTTAGAACAGGTTATAAGGGGGATTTGCTTTCCCCATTTCTCTCTTCTGCTTTGTGAGAGTCCTTCAGGACCTACCTGTCTCTTGGGGATGGACAACTGATTTAATTTTGTGTTGTGTTTCGTTTTGATGTTAATGAGTACATTTTCTGGAAGTAATAACCAGAGGTGGTTGTATCCATCTGAGGTGATATCTACTGTGGCTGCAATACTCATCCACTTTCAAGACCCGGGTTCTGCTTGTTCCTCTATCGAAATGGGACCAGATAATGATTTCTTATCCTAAATATTCTGAGCATCAGACTTGTGTGATAGCAGCTCTCCAGTGACCCTGCTCCAGTATTCCTAAAGCAAAATTTCCCAGAGAGGGCTAAGAGGAGAAAGACTAACTCTGCAGCCAGCCCAGGGATGATATCAATGTTTTGGTGAGAGTGTGCCGTCTAGGCAGTCTTCCCAGGAATGCTTGTATATTTTTATGAGACATCATTGTAATGTTGGGGAGGCTACCATTATTTTGAATATTAGCACTACTTTGTGAGCAAAACACATCCCAGTGTTAACTGGGATCTGGCATGGGTATATGTAAATAGAGGCAAATAGGTGAAAATGCATGATGATTATCTCTTGTTTGGCAGGAATGATTTCCATTATCTCAGCAAAATACTTTGTTTTCTCACTCTGTCTTCCAAAATAATGCACCTCCCAGCTCCCAACAATGAGATTAAATAACATCACTTTTTTTTATCTCTGAGTGGCCTAGTTTATAGCTTTCATATATTATTAGGTTGTGCATTACTTAGATGCAGAAGGAATGACGCACTTTCTCTGTTGAGAGAAATTTGGGGTAATTTCAATGGTACGTTGAACTCTCTGATGCAGAACTGTCAAGTCTGTAATGTTATCTGATACACAAATTGAATGCACTTAATGGTAGACTGTATAATACTTTTTCTTGCAGTACTGATCAATACTGACCTGTCTGGGCAGATGGCTAGTTCTGTTGATTATATATCCATCACAACCTATGCTAATTATCTGCTGATTTTAACTTTTTCTCCTTATTTTTTTGCATGGTGTTTTCTGGAAGAAGTTCCTATTTCAGAGAGCTTAAACCTGCCTTGCTGGCCTACAGGAATGTATTTGGCATGGCAACTTTCTTTTAGCAGTCGTGTTTAATATATACAGCGAACACCTCGTTCTGAGAGGCCATTTAAATGTCTTCAAAGAGTTATTGAATTGTTTATTGATCTACTTCATTACTGCTGTTCCTCTGGTTCCTTTTGATGTCTTGTCACTATGTTCAAAATATAATGCCAGGGTTTAAAACTAATAGTTGTGCAGGAAGCCCTACATGTGTAAATATTAGGGTATGTTTCTCCTTTGAGTGAGAATGTGCTAGATTGTCCAGTAAATATTGCTCCCACCAGAGTCTTATCCTTTTTCATGCACCTCCCTCTGCATGAAGACACCTTCCTCTTTTCCTTTTAAGAAAACTGAAGTGTCTGAGGTTTTGTCTTTTAGGTTTTATAACAGTCTAATCTCCTGTTTTCCCATTGGAAGCTTACAGACTAGTGCCCTGCTTAGGAAAACTAATTTGATTTAATTTTCCCTTTTTCCATCTAATCTTTTCCATATGTGTTTCTCCCACTTCTTAAATTCAGCAATTAAAAGTGTCTGTCTTCTTCCCCTTTCACTGATTTACTTGCTTCTGGAATAGACAACCTCCCATGGCAAGCAATTCCATAGTATATTGCTTACTTGGAGAAGGGCTTAATTTTTAATACTGCCACCTTGAGTATTCATTTGCGGATTTTAATTTTATTTTTAAATAGTGGGTAATAATTCTCTATTGTCTAAGCCACACAGGATCTTAAATATATTTGTCATATCCTGGGTCAGTTGCTGCTTTTAAGGATTAAGATTATAGCCTGTTTGCTTATTCCTTGTCCAGAAGTTGTTCCATATCTTTCTCTTTGGTCATCTTGATCACCACTCAGTGTCTCTTCTATTTCTACATTCTGCGTTTGACTTAGCCCTTCCAGTCCGTTGGCTGACCTGCCCTTAGCGTGCACTCACAGCAGCAGCAGGAGCTTGCCTGATTCCAGACTAATTCTGGTGATAAATTAACACAGAGGTGTGTTAAGTGGCAGAGTGAGCAATAAGACTTCCCGCTGGTGATAAGGCGGGCTCAGAACTGTTTCATTTAGATGCAGAGCTTCTCCAGGCGAACACCTTGTGACTGCCTACAAGGCAGCCCTGCCTGTTTGTGCTCCTTCAGCTTCTAGCCCACCTCCCCTCCCCAGCAGCAAAACCCGTCTGCTGTGTTTCCAACGCAGCTCTGGGAGTTACTGGCCGGGTGTGCTGAGTAGCCGAATCACGTCACTTAGCCTGTTTGAGTTACCGGTTGCTTCTGACTGAAAAGGCAAGGGTTTGTGCCACGAAGCTGTCAGATTCACGTATTGCTGATGCTCATTGTGTGTTACACAGGACAACTACTTTCTTCTTTTTTAAAAGAAGCCCCCAAATCACTCCTTCCTCTCCCTCCAAATGGTGGGAATGAGCAGAAATATTGTAGAAGTCAGGAAAAAGGCCCTTAAAATAATATGTAAAGTTGCAGAACGTGAGATGTTACCTTAGAAGTGGCCGAAGCCAAGATTACCTGTGCAATGTTCAATATTCCTTTTTTCGTCCGTGCAGCACCGTCGGTCTTCAAGCACTTGCATACTGTTTTCTTTTCTGCAAAACTGCAGATATTGCGACAATACCAGAAATATTGTGAAATCATGGGGTAGAGCTACATGTGTTTATTGATGAGACTTTTTTTTTCCTCCTGCTGGCCCTAACCTTTTGTTGTTAAATTTTAGTGTGTAGCTTGACTACGACACTTCTGTTTCCCATTTTGTTGTAAAAAGTGTTTCCTTAGGTTTTGAAAACCTACTTCAAATGTAACTGATTAAAAAGCATCAGAGAAAACCACACTGGGAGGGGGGGAAGAAGGAAAGCCAATCTTCACCTGTATGGAGCTGCCAGTAATGCTCAGAAGCTGACGAAGATGAGGTGCTCATCTAAGCATAAGTAGCCTTCAGAGTCTGGGTGTTCCTGCCTTGTGAAACGGGGTGCACTGTAACCATTAGTTCTGCTCCTTTTAAAATGATTGGTGATCACATAGTTTATTTTGTGTACTGTGAGGCTCTGTTGTAGTTGCTTTTCGCTTTGCAGCATGTGAAGACCAGGAGTCTACAGAGTGTCCAGTCTGTGGTGAAATTAGCAGTTAACTGTAGCCCATCCTAGTGTTTTGTCATCAGCCATGTATTTTACAGGGAAAACATCTAGGATAAAATGCCACAAAACTGACGGGTTTCCATTGAGAGAGATTTTAATCTTTTCCACTGTTTACATACTGAAGATGAGGACTTTGCTATGACACAAAGACACTTTAGGAAGATTTCAAACAACAGCAAAAAATCCTCTTTGGGGAAGAAAATGTATCGTGTAGGCTGTTTGTCATTTTGAAGTTAAAACACTTTTCCCCCAAGAGTATTAGCTATTTCAATAAGGCAATATTCTTACATTTTTTTAAAGTGGTTAAGTAACCAAAAGTCAATAATATGTATAAAACGTGTCGTAAATGTTGAGTTCTGTGCCTTTATTCCATGATACCCTGTCATACTGAAACAGCACCCTTGCACAGTCTGAGGGCACATCACTTCTGTTGGGAGGGTTTGTTTTTCTGAAGGTTTGTACTGCCCCATAAATAAAAAAAAAAAATAAAAAAACCTCCAACATTGCTATTTAAAAATTATCAAATCTGTATCTTCTGATTTATGATTTTTGTAAAATACCTCCACAAAAGAAAACCCATTAAGAGAATAAGTACTGTGCTGCAGGACATCTTCTCAGGAAACAGAAGTGATAAAAGCTACTAACTCAATATAAGTCCTATTCTGCTTTGCTAGTCACATGAGATTTCATGATCTTAATCTTGTATCTTTCATTTCACAATGTCATTTTTTCCTTCCCACCCAGCTTGAGGAAAGGACCATTTTCTGGTCCTTTTCCTCACTTCTTTTCTCTCCCTCCTTCCTTCCTGACAGCCAAGAATTGTGTGCAATTTGGCCATTAAGTTAA